TGCCCTGCACGTCGAGGAGCGGCGCTGCCCTGCCAGTGCCTCGAAGCTGTCATCCGATTGCCCCTGTCCTTATCTTTCAGTTTCAGTCCTCCGAGGCTTTCCTCCCCGCGCCGGTGTCGTGGCAAAGCAGCGCCAGGACAGCCCGGGAGCCGACGCGAGATATTTCAGGGTTGTCCCTGCAGAACTTTCCCTTCCTTAGAGGGCTCCGGAGGGAGGGGTGCGGGCCGAGGTGGGAGACACCAGCAGATGTCAACACGAAACTTGTTAGCTGATGCCGGCTCCAGGGCTCGGGCTGCAAAGTCGGCATCAGTTTTCCGTAGGAAGAGGAAGGACAGAAGGAGGGAAAGCGAGGCCGGGAGCAGCTTCCCGAAATTCGCCTCCCATTTTAAAGGTTTTATTTTAAATCTAAGAGAAGTAGCGATGGTCTTGCAAAAGGGGCTTTAATTAAATTTCTCCCCGGGAAAGCTTTGCAAAACTCCTTGCTTATCAGAGAAGAAAGAGAGAGGCTATTGATTCTGACGGGGATAAGGAAAAATAAATTTCGGGTACCTCTGCGAGAAACTCGCTGCTTATCGGAGGAGGAAAGTGTCATTCGGAAATCATCAGCCTCCATCAGCAGCGAACAGAGTTTTGAAAACTCCTTCCTCCACGTAAACACAAGAAACTACCGAGATTTAAAAAAGAAAAATTACCTAATCCCACCTAGCCAAACTCACTACCTCCCTTATTTTATATTCTTTTTTTTTTTAGTAAAAAAGTCATTCCTGCGGGACAACAGGGATAAATATTTAAGTGCTGGCGTCTGCGCGCAACTCGCTGCCCACAGCAGCACTCCGGGGCCGGGGTTTTGTCGGGCCGGGGGGAAAGCGGTGCCCGGGGGAGCAGCGCGGAGGGGCGCGGAGCCTCCTACCTCTGAGCGGCCGTGCTGGCGTCCAGGACGCCGGCTCCCTGCATCCACGTCCGCACCGCGTTCATCCCCGCGCCGAGGGGCTCTTCCTTCATGCTGCTCCCACTCCGCTGGATGCTTTCCTGAATCCCAAACATGAATCAGAAACAACAGCGCAAATCTTTCTTCTTTACTCAAAAAAAAAAAAAAAAAGAAGTGATAAAATCGCCAGGCGGGCGATTATAAAAACGTTTTTCTTCTTTCTTTCTCTCTTTGCAGCTGATCTGTGGAATCAATGCAAGTCAGAGAGCGCAAACAGAGGCACGCACATTAAAAAATAAAAAGAAAGAAAAAAAAAGAAAAGAAAATGAAAAGAAAAAAAAA